AAAAAAAAAAAAAAAAAAAAAAAAAAAAAAAAAAAAAAAAAAAAAAAAAAAAAAAAAAAACTATATAAAAACCAAAAAAAAAAAACGGATCGCCTGCGCCCACTGCACGGACAACCGCCCGCCGCCCGTGGCCTCAGGCCGGGGCCGCCGCCTCCTCGGCCGCCGAGCCCGGGGACTCCGCCGCGCCGACCGCCCCGCCGACGTACCGCCCCGCCCACGCCGCCCTCGCGGAGGGCGCCGCCTCCCCCTCCTGGCGCGCCAGGCCGCCGCCGCCGTCCGGCGTCGTCCCTCGCCGCCGTCCGCGGCCCCCAGACCTCTTCCGGTCGGCCTCTCGAGGCTCTCGCCAGGCCCCGAGGCCGTCAGGGAACCGCTCGGGACGAGAGACCGGTCCCAGGGAGAGCCGTGGCAAGACCCGACGACGGCGACGAAGACCACGACGACGAAGGCCACGACGACGACGGGGCGAGATCTCCGGGGGCCCACGTCATGGAACGATCAAGACGCCGAAGGGTCCGGGGTCGCCGCTGTCCTCGTCGCCGTCGCCCGTCAGTGCTTCGCGCTTCGTCGGCCCGTCGTCGCCGCCGCCGGCGTCGGTCGTCGTCGTCGTCGTCCGTCGGTCGTCCGCCGTGGCCGCGGCCGTGGCCGTCGCCGCTCGAGGAGCAGCCATCGAGAGGATCCCGGGGTCTGAATGCGCGCTCCTGGCCTTGCTCCCGCCTCTCGACGACGTCGGTCGTTATTTACTCGTCGTCGTCGCCGTCGTCGTCGTCGGCGTCGTCCCGCCGCGCCCGCTTCGGCGCGACAGGCCGGCGTGGGCGGAGGAGGAGGACGCGGGCGCCAGCTGAAAGAAGTGCCTTTGGCCGACCCACGTCCCCGGCTTCCTGGCCATCTTGGCTCGGCTGAGCATAAGAATGATGTGTGTCGCTGGAGTGACCTTTGGTGCGGGCCTGCTGGGGTCCCCCGATCGCCGACTGCGATGCGACGGCAGCGGCTTGCGAACTTGGTGTTGGGCCCCCCCCCCGCGCCCACCGACAAGCGGTGCACCAGAGGCAACCCGTGCCCAGGGTCATTCTTGCGTGTAGCCGACTGGGTTGTGGAGGACGGAGGGGGCCCGGCAGGCCCAGGAAGAAAGAAGGGCGCACCACAGAGGCGCTCTGGGCGAGGACGCGGGGTGTTGGCAGAAGGACGTTCCCCCCTGGCTGGCCCCATGGCTGGCCCCCACGGCTTCCAGACCACCGTGGGCGGGGAGCACGACGCCAAGACTTCGGGCGTCTTGACTTTCCCCAGCCCGCCTGGCTGCTCCCAACCCTCCTGGCTGGTGGGCCCTCGCCTTGAATGTGCAGCGCCCCGCGCCTCCTTCCCGCTTCCCGCTCATCCCCCTGCCTCTGCTCTCCGCACGTCCGTGTCGGCACACCCCTCGCCCTCGTTCGGCCCGTGGCCCCGCAGACGGCTCCTCCGACGGCCTCGGCGGGTGCGACCGCACTCACACAGACACAATTAATCGTCGATTCCCTGGAAAATATGGAAAAATATGGGAAGTGGGGGGAAGACAAAAACCCCGAAAATATAGGAAAATACGGGGAATCTTTTTACTTGTGTTTATTTATGTGTGTGTGTCCTGGGGCCCCATTCACGCACGACGCACGCGGGCGCATGTTGGCACACCCTTCGCTCTCCCTGGCCCCTCCGGCAGCTCCGCCGGCGGCCTCAGTGGCCGCGACCGCACGGCGCACGCGGGCGCACCTTGGCGAACCCCTCGCTCGTTCCCGGCTCCGTGGGCGGCTGCACCGACGGCCTCGGTGGGCGCGACCTCGCGGCGCCCGCGGGCCCAGATTCGGCACACACCCCACGCGCTGCGAGGTCCGAGGGGAAGGCAGCCGCGCCCGCGCGCGGCCCGCAGCTCAGCGCTCGTTCCTCCGAGCCCCAAGAGCACCAGGGGTAACGTGGGGGGGGGGGGTAAAACGACGCGAAGGTCGGGACAAAATCGGATCGGGATAGCTCGACATCTCCGAGAATCGGCGGGTCTGGAGGCTGCATTGGGCGCCGCGGCCGCTCCCAGAGCGCTCCGGAACGCTCTGAGAGCGCTCCGGAACGCTCTGAGAGCGATTTATCCCCCTCCTCCTCCTCCCTCCTCCTCCCTCCTCCTCCTCCTCCTCCTCCTCCTCCTCCTCCTCCTAATCCTCCTCCTCTTCCTCCTCCTCCTCCCTCGATCCTAGCCCTGTTTTAGGGGGGGGGGGGTACGCCAAGGGGGCGACGCATCGGCCCGCCATCGCCCAGTGATCGCCACGAGGGGCCTGGCAGCCCACCCCGCACAGGGCCGTGCGCTTTCCGCTGTCGAGGGCCGGTCGCCCCTGCTTTACAACAGGGCGTCTTCTGCGGTTGCCCTGCAGAAGTATTGGAGTCGAGGGATCTGCAGTGCCGGCGCCTCGAGCCCACCCAGGCAAGTTGGAGCAGGAGAGGAAGCAGGACCACCACCAGAGACGCTTCACGAAGCTGTTGTCTTCCATATGGAAGAAACAGGGAAATCTAGGACACCCCTTATGACCGTCGCTGCTTTCATTGTGCCGTCAATTCAATGTCGTGCATAGCAGCCTTTACAAAAGTGTTGCTCTCTTGTTGGTATGTTACCACAGATGTCGAATTGTCGGGGATCTGCAGGGGGCTCCACACTTGTAATATTTTCGCCGCAGCCTTTATAAGAGGATTTGCTTGGGTGGCGAATTTTCATTTTTCAAGTGTGAGGGACCTGCAGACGCGGCGCCTTGATCCCAAGAGAGTGCAGATAGAAGCAATACACCATATGAAAACGCGTATGTTCCCACACGTAAGCGATAACAAGCTAGGACAGTGTCTGATTGTCGCTATTATTATGGCGCAGATCCCCTACACTTGAAACCCTTGTGCAACAGCTTTTGCAGAAGGATTCCTTGCTTGGTGGTCTTACACAGGGATTTCATCGGTCGGGGATCTGCACTAGCCTCCTCACTAAAACCTGTGTGCCACAGCCTTCACAGAACGGGTTCGTTGTGCGGCGATCTTACAAAGTGGTTATAAGTGTGGGGAACTGAAGAAGGGACGCCTAGACCCCAGGAAAGCTAGAGAGGAAAGCAGGAACAATACGAAACAGCGTTGCCTTCACATGGAAAACAACAAAGAGTTTGTAAAACCGGTGATTGTCTTTACTTGTATGAATCAGCTCCCCCACGCTTGAAATACTTGTTGTGGGACCGCCACAAACAAATCCGCTGCAAACGCTGCGACACAAGTATTTACATTGGGGAGGCCACTGCAGACCCCCAGGCTTCCAATCCTTGTGTCAAATCTCAACTCCAGTTGTTTCTGTTCTCATTCCTAGTTGTCCTGGGCTCAACGCGCCGCCACTGCAGATCCCCTACAACTGAAATATGTTTGGAAGATCGCCACAGGAAATCCTCTTGCACAGGTTGCTACACAAGGCTTTCCGGGGAGGAGGCCACTGCAGCTCCCCTACACTTAACATCTTGTTTGGCAGATCCGCCACACGAAGAATCATTCAGCAAAGGCTGCTACACCCAGGCTTCAAGCGTGGGGACCTTCACAATAGAATAGCGACGGTTACAGGTTATCCGAGATGTTCTTTATTTCCTATGTGAGAAAAAACTAGGGTTCCAGTGTCGCATGTTGTTACACGTGTTCCTGTTTAGTTATCTTGGGTTCAAGGCGCCGCCACTGCAGATCCCCCACACATGAAATCCTTATGTAAAAAATGAGAAAACCGTGTGCAAGAGCTGCGGCACAAGGATTTAACATGGAGGTCGTTCCACATTATTGAACATTTAGATCCTGCTGTAAGATAGCCACACATGGAATATTGTTGCCGAGGCTGCAACTACAGGATGTTAGTTCGCAAGACTGCCTTAAAATGCATCATGTTTGACAAGGGCGTCAAATAATAAAGTATTGAGCATGGCCGCCACAGGTGATAGTTATGAGGATGAGGGTGGTAATCATGGTGATGACGGTGGTGATGCCGATGAACAATCATGCATGGTGGTTCGAAATCCTTCAGCACAAGGTGATTCGACATGTTTCAAAGCATCCATGCTGCAATTGCACAAACAGAAGATCGCACGGTCCCCCCTGAACCCTGCACCACCAAGGCAGGAAGGGGAGAGAGAGAGAGAGAGAGAGAGAGAGAGAAACAAAAAAAAAGGAGGAGGAGGGAGGAGGAGGAGGGAGCCGCAGGAGGTGAAAGCAGCGGGGAAGGAGTATCGCGAAGAAGGGAACTGGAGCAAGGAGCGTCGGCCCAGGCACTCCCTGCCACGAAGGGCTGTTGCAGTAGCTCTGCCTCTCCTGGCCTGGGCCGCTGCAGGCCTGTCTTGGGCGGCGAGCCGAGGGGGGGAAGCGCGAGGGGGCGGGCTCTCGCAGCAGGCGGCGGGGCTTCTCGGAAGCCCTCGCGCCTTCTGGGCAGCCGCCTGCAGCTGCAGAGGGGACCTGCAGGGCCTCCCAGAAGGCGCGAGGCTTCTGAGAAAGCCCCGCCCCTCTCCCTTCTCCCTGGGCTCTGCACCGACGTCTCTGTTCGCCGAGCCCGTCCCCGCCCCTCGTGGCTTTCGAGCCATGAGACCTCCGTCGGCCGTCCGGGAAGATCCGGGCACCCCCAAGGGCGCTTTCGGAGAGGCGCAGCTGCTGGAGCATCCCGGGTCTGGAGGACGGCCACGAAACCCCCCCCAACAAACATCTCGAGCTCGTCGCGCCCCCCTTACCGTCAGGAGCTTTGGCTTCGCGCGTCTCTCCCCCAGTTCTGGCCCGCCAACTGCCGGCGCGACGCGCCAACCGCTTTCCATGGCCCCTGGACGACAGGCCCCGAGCTTTCCCGAGCCTGCGAGAAGGGGGGGGGGAGCAGGAGGAGGAGGAGGAGGAGGAGGAGGACGCGGAGGAGGAGGAGGCGGAGAAGGAAGAGGCCGTTTGCGGGAACTCCATCCCCCGCACTCGCCCCAGGGCGCCGCGCCAGGCCGCGCGCGCCCATGGGGAGAGCAGCCTCCACGCGCCGCCGCGCCATCGGAGGCAGGCGGCGCGCGCACCACGTGAAGGTGATCAGCCGCGACTACACCACCCACCAGTTGCAGAACAATTGTCGCCAGCTGTTGAATCACAAAGTGGACATCTCCAGCACCGACTATGGATTACGAGACCGGCCCAGTTCGGTGGAGACCCACGGGCAAGCATGCCGAGACCACAAACGCAAAGAGGAGTACGGGCGCGAACACATGCTACCAGAACAGATGCAGCTCTCAGGGGAAAAGGCTACCTCGTCCGACCTTGCCGTCAGACCACCCCAACGACATCATGACCATCGCTACGACCGCCTTCATGATGGCGGCCACTACCGGACGGGACAAGCCGCATCACACACAAAACGATTCCCGTAACATGCGCAGCCCAAGTACGACAACCACCACCAGTACGACACAAAACACGGGACCAACACCGACGGCAAGTACGACGGCAAGAGCGGCGGCTTGAACCCAGCCGCGACCACCTTCAAGCCGAGCCAGACCACGATCACGATCTTGCCCCCCGACGAAACATGACAGTGATAGGGCGACCGAGCGCTTCCTTTTTTCAGATCCCAGCTCCAACGTGACCAGCTACAGCGGCCCCCAGAGTAGATGCGACCACCAGCGCTACGACGATCACCAGAACTACGATTTCTACCAGAATTGCCAGGACTACGGCTCCATGTGCAACAACGCCACCGGGGACCACTGGCACAAGTCCAAGAAGGCCCACGAGGCCAAGAAGGCAGCGGAGTCCCAGAAGGGTCGGGGGGACAGGAAGGCTCAGCAGACCACAGCATAATTACAACAGCTTCCAACGGAGCTGGACGGACTATTTGCCGAGCTTTCGAAAGAGCCCGCCAAGCTTCGAGGGCCACCAGCTGAGCTTCAAGAGCCACCAGCTGAGCTACGGGGGCAACAAGCTGTGCTACGCACGCCGCGCGCAGAGCTACGAGCGCCACCAGCTGACTGACCAGGGCCACCTGCAGAGCCACGAGAATCACCAGCTGAGCTACGAGGACCACCTGCTGAGCGACCAGGGCCACCTGCCGAGCCACGAGAATCACCAGCTGAGCTACGAGGACCACCTGCTGAGCCACGAGGATCACCAGCTGTGCTACGAGGACCACCGCAGAGTTACGAGACACACCCGCTGAGCTATCAACACCACCAACTCAGCTACCAGAGCCACCAGCAGGATTACGAGGGCCAGCTGTGTTTAGAGGTCCGCAAGCTGGGCTACAAGGACCACCAGCTGAATTACGAGGGCCACTAGCTGAGCTACGCGGAACACGAGAAGAGCAACGAGGGCTTCCAGCAGTGTTGTCCGCGCCACCAGCTGAACTACAAGCTCCACGAGCAGAGCCTCGAGAGCCCCCGACACAGCTACAAGAACCACCAGCTGAATTACGGTGGTAACAAGCCGAGCAACGAGGTCCGCGCCCGGGACTTCGAGAGCCACCAGCTAAGCTAGGGGGACCACACGATAAGCTACGATGGCCGCGCGCAGAGCTACGACAACCACCAATGGAGGTACGGGCTTCGCCAGCCGAGCTACGAGGGCCACCAGCTCAACTACGAGGACCACCAGCTGAGCTACGTAGGCCACAAACATAGCTACACGAGCCACCAGAGGAGCTACCAGCGCCACCAGCTGAGCTTCAAGTGCAACCAGCATGGCTGCGAGGGCCACAAGTTTAGCTTTGAGGTCGGCAACCGAGGTACGAGGGCCACAAGCCGGGCTACGAGGACCACCAGCTGGGGTACGAAGGCCACCAGCATGCCTACGAAGGCCACAAGTTGAATTACGTGCGCCACGAGCTGAGCAGCAAGGGCCTCCAGCAGAGCTATCAGCACCACCAGCTGAGCTACAAGCTCCACGATCAGAGCCTCAAGAGCCCCCGGCACAGCTAAGAGGACCACCGGCCGAACAACGGGGGCAACAAGCCGAGTTGCGAGGGCCGCGCCCAGGACTTCGAGAGCCATTGGCTGAGCTACAAGGACCAAGAGAGGAGGACGACGAGAGCGACGAGCAGCATTCGCCCATCTTTATGAGAGGTACGCCGTGCTGGAGGGGCTGGACTTTTCTACAGGACCACAATCGCCGAGGGGGAGGCTATCATAGAAGCCTCCGCCATCATGGCCATATCCAAACGAACCCTGCGGAAAACAAGCCCCACGACACAATGGCGCCCATAGACATGAACGTTCGCCGCCACTACGACGACGGGGACGCGATGGTCTGCGCTCTGGGCCCCTCTGGAGCCATCAAAGCGCTCTTGTCCGCCCACGCCCATGACACGCCGGTCGTTGAGAGTAGGTGTTTTGGGATGCCGTAACCTTCATCTACTTTAGGCACCTGCTCACTTCAAGAGTCGAGCGATTGTCCCACTTCCCTCCTTTTTCCAGGGGGCGGGCGGAAACCCAATCAACTTCCAGCGCCGTCTTACTCCATGTTTCTACGTCGTGCTACTACCGACTTCTTCCGACCGATGGGTACGAGGCGCAAAAGAATCGGATACCTACGCGCCAGCGACCCAGCCAGTCCTCTCCCCGCCGCAGAAGTTCTACGACGACAGGAGGAAGACGAATGCCACGACAAGGACAACGAGAACGATGTGGAACACGAGGAAAGCAGCGAGGAGGACAACGCCTATTCCAACGAAGACAGGTGGAATGCTGAGTAGTACGATCTCGCAAGCGACGGCTCTGGAGAGTCATGTGACGTGGCGGCCTCCGATACGGCCTACAAGCAGGTGGCGCCACCAAACACAAGGCGAGACCAGCCTGCCTGAAGCCAGAGAAGAGCACGAACGACTACAGCGCTTCGGACAAGGATGCACAAGTACACCGATTTAGTGCTGCAGACATCATCAGAGACATCGTGTCCATGACCGACAAATCATGGCGTGCATTACGCAAGTGGAAAGGTATTACGTCTACAGATTGTACCGCTCCTACGGTTGAGTGGCCCCGCGGCTCTACCCACCTCCTTTCCTCCCCCTTCCGAGGCCCCAGATGGTATACGAGAGTGTGGGCGGCCTCCCCCTCCTTCCCCCCTCCGGAAGGGGCGGCCCGCCCCGGCCCCAGCCGCAACCACGTGCGTCGGGCGCGGGGCGCGCCTTGTGGGTGATGCGTCGGCGGTCGCGAGAGGTACAGGAAGGGGAGAATGGAGGAGGAGGAGGAGAAGGAGGAGGAGCAGGAGGAGGAGGAGAAGGAGGAACGGGAGGAGCAGGAGGAGGAGGAGGAGGACAAGGAGGAGGAGGAGGAGGAAGAAGGAGGAGGAGGAGGAGGAGGAGAAGGGAGGCGGGCGGGAATGGGAAATTGTCATCAAGAGTCATGTCCCCCCTCGGAGGAGGAGCCCCTGGGCGAGGACCACCGCTACGGGCCGCCGCCGCCGCTTCACGCCGACCGCTCCTGGGCAGGGGCCCCAGTGTGGCGGCCGTCTGCGCGCGCAGCGCGCACGTGCGGCCGGCAGGTTTTTCGCGCGAGTATCGCTGCCGATCGCCTCCCCTATCCGTCCTCCTCCCTTTCCTCCTCCTCCTCCTCCTCCTCCTCCTCCTCCTCCTCCTCCTCCTCCTCCTCCTCCTCCTCCTCCTCCTCCTCCTCCTCCTCCTCCCTCCTCCTCCTCCTCCTCCTCCCCTCCTCCTCCTCTTTTCTTCTTCCTCCTCCTCCTCCTCCTCCTCCTCCTCCTCCTCCTCCTCCTCCTCCTCCTCCTCCTCCTCCTCCCCCTCGTCGTCTTCTTCCGAAGCCATTTTGGCTCAAGTGCGAGACCGCAGCCCTGCGGTTTCGTACCTGCCTGCAGCCAAGGGGCTGGCTCGAGGCGAGCTGCCCCACAGCAGGTTTTCTTTCTCACGCGATCGCCGTGTGCGTCTGCGGCAACCCACACTGAGGCTGCAGGCGCCGTTCTTCTGACACCGTCACTACCTACACGTCTCTTTTCTGGCGCCCACGGCACATGCCGATCGATGAGGCTTCTGATCCCTCCAGGAGTAGCAGGGGGGCTCCGCTCGGGACCGCCGTGCGCGCCGCCGCCGCAAAGGAGATAAACACCGCCGTCGTCGCCAAGATCGGGATTATTCCTCATCACGTTCCTGCAGCGGGAGCTCTCGGCATTGTGGCCGCACCCCACTCCCAGCTCAGCGCCGTGGTGCAAGCGCTCCTTCTGATGCTCGTGGTGGTCACCGTGGGCCTGGCGCTGCGGAGGCAGATCCGCGTCTCACGCCAGCCATGGCTCGGGACATCGAGTTCGCGACGACCTTCCCCGATGGCGAGCTGGGCGAACCTCACGCAGCCGACCCACCCCAAGGCCGCGCTGACCCTTGGCGCGCCGCTGCGAGCACCGCTGTGGGTCCTGCAGCTGCTGCCCGTGGCGCTGGTGTGGCGTCGCCTGTTGATTCCATCGAGGCCGCTGTCACTGCCGCCTTCGCGCAGCAGATGGTTGCAGCCCGCACTGAGGTCAACTCGACCATGGGCCAGGCGCACAACGACATGCGCCACACGGTGGTGGGCCTCCTTCGGCCGCAGGCTGCTCGGCTGGACACTCACGATTCTGAGCTTCGCCAGCTACAGGAGCGTGCTGCTACTCTGGGGGCTCGGCAGGGCGCTCTCCGCTCCGACATAGATGCGGTGCAGCGCTCGCTGGCCCAAGCTCGAGATGACGAGGTTGGGGTTGTGGACCTCGCGCGGCTTGCCACGTATGACAGACCCCCCGACCCCAGCATCTTCAGGATCGGCTGTGCCCAGCCGACGGCCGACACGAAGATCAAGCATGGCCTTGCGCAGTGGATCCAGGACGCGGGCTTGTCAGCAGACCAAGATTGGCTCCACGGCCAGTCGCTTGGCAAGATGATATACCTGCATCTTCATGGTAGGGTAGTAGTATTAGTAGTATTAGTATTAGTATGATGATTAGTATTAGTATTAGTATTATTAGTAGTAGTAGTAGTAGAAGAAGTAGTAGTAGT